AATTCTCACCAGCATTGTATTAAAAATGTCCATTCGCCCTTCCATTTCATACTGGTTATTATTTAAGAAAATTGGATTATTATAAACAGCATTTAACTCTCTTCACAACAGATACTCTGGCACTATCCCAGAGGAAAAATACCCTATAAATTTCCAAATCAAAATACATTTCTGTTGAGGAGGGAAAGGATGAAGACATCCATTTTCCTTAGCTCTTACTATTTCTCTTTATACAGCTGCCTTGTTTCCCTCCTTAGAGAGGACCACTTCCATAAAGGGGCATTTCTAACTCTTCTTCTTCCTCACCCATCTAAATGTCAAGACATATTTCAACTCTCGCCTACTACTTGTTGACTTTCTAAACACTAGCCCATACTGATCTTCCCCTTTTCTGTATTCCAAGAGCAATTACATTCCAATTAAAGATGCACGGTAATGGTTAAAAATAGGTATTAAAACTATATTTTACCTTTTAAATTTCTATTTTTATCTGTATATAATATAAAAATTATACAATGGTATCCGTATCTTTTATAAATTAGTAAATACATATTTGGGCACATTCTTAAAAGTATACTGACAAAGGATATGTATCAAATTTAGAGACTGCTAGCTTATACTTAGCAACTTGTAGTCTTGAAAGTAAAAGATGCCAAAAGAGTCATAATACAGTAAGCACACTTTTGCAAAAACATGAGTTCTGAATGCCACAAACTAGGAGTAAATCACTTACCTAGAGAGTGAGGCAAACATTTAGTTTCCAAACAGCTTTTTTCCCTACTTATAATCATAGACAGTATAACTTTTATAAATTAATTTTTAAAACTTCTTTTGAAAAAATTATTCCATTAAGAAATTCTAGGGTAAATTCTGGCAATAAAAGTAGAGATCTAAATAGTTTATAATAAAAAGGTGGATTGGTCGTGGTGTATATTGTGTGAGCACATGTACATGTAAGCACATGTAAAATCGGGGGAATTACAAGAGTTAGAGTTGCTATTTCACTTTTTCCAGTTTATGAAGCTTGACTCTACAAATTCCAAGTCCCTTCACTAGGGAATAATATCTTTCTTAGCATCCCTGCAGTTTCTAATGGGTGCAATGATGCACATTAGTAGTTGCTCTGTGAATATTTGGTGACTTGTTTCTATTTGATACTTGCCTCTTTTCTATGTTTAGGCATTTTTCTGACTTTAAATTTTATTGCCTACTGCAGAGAGAGACATAAGCTACAAATTAAATGTTTCTGTGTAGACTAGAAATATTCAACAATGTATTCATTACAGTGAAAGTCTAATATAAAAGATTTGAATTATGTAATTTTTTGAAATATGATTTATTATCTTAGTGTTATATAAATAAAACTAAGCAGAGATGTTAGATATATTTCCTCTGTTGTTATGTAAAAGATCAAATGGAAATCAGAGAGAAATATATTTTAAATGCTTCAGGAATGGCCCATACCCAGATGTTTGTGTGGTGCGTTAGGATGTCTACTGGGTTTGCTAAAAGCCATTTTAAATAAGAAGTATGAAATTTAGTTATAAAAATTGATAATCTCAGGGATCATTTTTTTAAAAAACCATCCTAACAACATTATGTAAAGACAAAAGACTGTCATTATAGGCCTTCCATTGGCCACTGAAAAGCAGGGTTCTACTAACAGTAGCTTACCTCAAGTGTGTGCTTACTTAGTACTAGGGCTGTGCATGTATTATATCATTTAATAATCTTCTCTTGAGGGAGCCCCTAAAAGATAGTACTGTGTCTTACTTATTTCTTTTTTACTGTTGAAGAAAGCCTTAGAGAAGTTAAATAACTTGTCCAGAATTATACATAGTGAGTGATAGAGTGAGAGTTGAACCCAGGTCTATAGGATTTAGACCAGAACTGCACAATGGAACTTTCAGCATTGAGGAAATGTTCCATTCCGTATCTGTACTGTCCAGTTTGGTAGCCACTAGCCCCAAGAGACTATTAAACACTTGAAATATGACTAGTCCAACTAAATAGCTGAATTTAAATTTTTTATTTAAATTAAAATAGCCTCATAGGGCTAGTGGCTACTGTATTGACAGCACAGCTCTAGAAACTTCCTAAATGTGCTTAATCGCTCACCAGTATCTCCTTAATTCTCTTTGCCTATTACATGCTAAACAAAAGATGTAATAGGAAAAAGAAAGTAAGGAAGTGTTACCAGAGGTGCTTACCTCAGGGTGGGAAGTGCCAAAGAGAGACTTGGGTCAGCATGCAGCACAAAGTTACAATTAGGAGGAACAAGTTCTGGATTTCATACAAGAAGGTGACTATGGTTAATAATGTATATCCCTCACCACAAAGAAATGATAAATATTAGAGGTGATTAATTTGCTAATTAGCTTCCCAAGCAGGTTACAACATATACATGTATTAAAACATTACATTGTACCCTATAAATACATATACTTGTTATTTGTTAATATATTGAAAATAAAGTTATTTTTAAACTATGATGTTCAAATCTGGCTTCAGACCTAGTGAATCAGTCTCAGGGAATGAGGCCTTGAACACTGAAACTGAAATGTTCCCTGGGTTATCGTGACTTGTTTCAGCATGTGAACCAAAATACCCTGAAAGTTATTGACAAGAAAATTATTCACCGGGAATATGCCAACATCAGAAGTAGCCTATAATAACAGTGATGATGGTATTACAAAGTTCTTTTATTCTTTCCAAACAACGTTGATTAGCAACTCTCATAGATGATGGCAATTCACACTCGAGAAATATTCAACTAATTTATTTGTTTAATCATTACTTATTATTTGATATGAAGCAAAAGAAATGTGATACAAAGAAAGAAGTACTTGATTTATTTACTTGTTCTTGAATTTATGGCTTATAAAAATTAGTTATTATAATTTTCTCCCCTCCTTAGTCACTAATGCTCTTATAATCATTTGTCAATATTTTAACAGTATAAAACTTCATTGAAAAATATTTTAAATCTTCAAATAATTCATCAAAACCACCATTATTTTTTTTGCTTATGTTATAGTGCCTCTTAAATTTTAAAATGATTTATAATTCTCATTTGTTTGTATAAACAATATATTATTACATACGAATCAACCTATTTTTATAATGATGTTAAATGTGAGTATTACTTGACTTGGATTTTCCAAGTTATTTAATCAGTAATATTCATAGTGTACAACACATCCTTTCTAGATAATGTACATTTGACTTCTGTTGTCATTATTAACAATTATCCTCCAAGAGCATTTATCTGGTGCCCATGTTTGTATGGTACTGAAAATAAATGGGACTGGGAGGATTTAGGAAGGAATATTTATCAGTTAAGGCATTGTTAACTTCTAAAACAGATAAATCTTGGTTCAATGTGAGTGTTCTTGCTTGAGTGATCTTTTATGTATTTTACTTCTTTGTCTAAGTCTTCAGTCCTCTCCATGCAACCTGTGGATAGAGAAAGAAAATATGGAAAAGCCATACCTTTTCTTAGCCACTTTAAGGTGAACTGTATGCTGTAACAGTTCATTTCCATAAGACCACACCTATTTGCTAGAGAGGCTGAGAAATGCAGTCTAGCTATATTCTCAGGGGCAAAAAAAGGGATATTTTGGTGAACACGTAACAGTCTCTGTCATAGCCCTGTCTCTGCTATGAATGAACTCTGACTCTTGGCAAGGAACTTAATCTCCTTGGCTTCAGTTCCCTTTACTTTAAAAGTAAGAGATCTGATGCCTTTTTCTTTTTTGTTTGGGTTATTAGGTATATGAACAAGATTCTTTTAAGATATAGTGGGGCTTGATTCAACAAAGCATTTGTCACAACCATAATATCCTTAAAAGAAGATCTGATGAGAAATGAGAGCTAAGTTATGGCACAGTCAGTGGTTTTATAGTTAATCGCATGACCAGCCGACTTTGATTACTTAAGTGATCCTGGAGAGGAGAACTGGTGGTGAGGGTGGGGAGGAAAGTGTACTCAGGATTTCATTCTTAGTCCTCATCTTTTCACTTTTTCACAATTTTTATCAGTAAATCATATGAAAACAAACATAGAATTCATACTCTTCAAATTATAATTTAGAAATTTCAAATAATTTTTTTTTTTTTTTTTTTTTTTTTTTTTTTTTTTTTTTTTTTTTTTTTTTTTTTGAGACGGAGTTTCGCTCTTGTTACCCAGGCTGGAGTGCAATGGCGCAATCTCGGCTCACCGCAACCTCCGCCTCCTGGGCTCAGGCAATTCTCCTGCCTCAGCCTCCCGAGTAGCTGGGATTACAGGCATGCGCCACCATGCCCAGCTAATTTTTTGTATTTTTTAGTAGAGATGGGGTTTCACCATGTTGACCTGGATGGTCTCAATCTCTTGACCTTGTGATCCACCCGTCTCGGCCTCCCAAAGTGTCAAATAATTTTTTTAGATAGCCATATTAGGCTATCAAATTGCTTTAGCCTATAATATAAGTTATAGATTACCTGGGCATTTGAGGACTGGACACAGAACCAAAAGAATTATTTATAACACTGTTTTTATGACAGTATATTTTTTAATGAACTGTGGTACATAACCCATTTTTAAGTAAAGGATGACTTGAACTTGTATCTCCAAAATAATTTAATTGCCTTTCTGCCTTCAAAAATGGGAATGATCTCTTACATCCTTAAATTAGGAGATACAGTTATCAATATGAATATAGCTTAGCTCTTTTTCAGTAGAGACATAGGCTTTAACAGAGAAAAGACCTCACAAAAAGATACTACAAAGTAGTGTATAGCAATTAATTAACAGTTTACATTCACTCACAGTATTTATAAGAAACATATGACTTGAGGCATCATAGATTTTAAGAGACGAAAACAATGAATGATTATACATTAACATTGATAGGTACCATTGATTTCTTCTATTACATTTAAAGGCTTTCACGGGACTTAATAGGAAAGATATTTAAATGTGACAGTGATATTTCAAAATGTGTGTTTTTTTCTTTTCAGGACTTCTAATAGTAGTCAGACATTATCATCCTGTCATACTATGGAGCCATGTTCATCAGATGAATTTTTCCAAGCCCTTAATCATGCCGAGCAAACATTTAAAAAAATGGAAAACTATTTGAGACATAAACAGTTGTGCGATGTAATTTTAGTTGCTGGTGATCGCAGAATTCCAGCTCACAGGTAAATTGTTTTCTATATTTCTGTATGTGTGAAATATTTCCTTGATAATTTGGTTATGTATATTGAGGTAACCTACTTCAATTGACTATTATGTTTTTGGGAAGGGGTGTAGTTCATGGAATTTCCACCAGGAAAATAGTTCAAATGAAATTATTACATATTTGGTGATCCTCAAAGGGTCATTTTCCTGCTATAAAAACACAATAACAAAACATACTGGCCTCAGATAGGTTGGTATTGTTTTGTATAGACTTCAGCTGCTAGAAGAAGCTTTTATGCCATATTCTACCTATTAAATACTTACAGTAAACTCAATGGAAATTAAAGCTTGTGGATATTTAGAAGAAGAAAAGCTGGTGAATTGGAGTAGCACAAAGTCTTAAGAGTTTTTACAATAGCCACATCTATCCCAACTTCTGTTGGCTGATTTCTAAGAAGTGTGAAAAGCAGTGCTAGGGAAAACAACGCCTTTACTACAAATTACATATTATTTCTTGAAGTAAGAAAATAAAAGAGCTGTTTATTAAAGAATAATTCATTTTCATATAATTCTGTATTGATTTGTTCATTGTTAATCACAACCATGATTTTCAAAGGTTTTGTTTCTTTTTTTTTTTATGCCCTTCAAAACTAATTAACACTCTGTCCCAAAGATTTTTTTTTTAACCTTCTAAAGTGAGATAACATCAAAAAAAGCCTTCTAGATATTGGCTTAGGCAAAGACTTCATGACCAAAAACCCAAAAGCAAATGTAACAAAAACAAAGATAAGTAGATGGGACTTAATTAAACTAAAAAGCTTCTGCACAGCAAAAGAAAGAATGTGAGTTAACAGACAACCCACAGAGTGAGAGAAAATCTTCACAATCTGTACATCTGAGAAAGAACTAATAATCCAGAATCTACAAAAAAAAACCTCAAATCAGCAAAAAAAAAAAAAAAAAATCTCATCACAAAGTAGGTTACCGACATGAATAGACAGTTCGTGAAAGAAGATATACAAATAGCCAACAAGCATATAAAAAAGTGTTTAACATCACTAATTATCAGGGAGATGCAAATCAGAACCATAGTGCCTTACTTTTGCAAGAATGGCCACAATCATAAAATCAAAAAATAATGTTGGCATAGATATTGGTGAAAAGGGAACACTTTTACACTGTTGGCAGGAATGTAAACTAGTACAAACACTACATGTGTGGCGATTCCTTAAGGAACTAAATGTTAAAAGAAAAAACTAAAAGTAGATCTACCATTTGATCCAGTAATCCCACACTACTAGCTATCAATTACATACTCAGAGGGAAAAAGTCATTATATGAAAAAGATACTTGCACACACATGTTTATAGCAGCACAATTAGAAATTGCAGCCCAAATGCCCATCAATCAACTGGATAAAGAAAATGTGGTGTATACATGTATGGTGGAATACCAGTCAGTCATAAGAAGGAACAGAATAACAGGATTCTCAGCAACCTGGATGGAACTGGAGACTTGTTTTAAGTGAAGTAACTCAATAATAGAAAACCAAACATCACATGTTCTCACTCATAAGTGGGAGCTAAGGTATGAGGATGCAAAGGCATAAGAATGATACAATGGGCTGGGTGTGGTGGCTCAGGACCTGTAATCCCAGCACTTTGGAAGGCTGAGGTGGGTGGATCACTTGAGGCCAGGAATTTGAGACCAGCCTGGCCAACATGGCAAAGGTCTGTCTCTTCTAAAAATAAAAAAACTAGTCAGGCGTGGTGGCGTGAACCTGTAATCCCAGCCACTGGGAGGCTGAGTCTTGAGTATTGCTTGATCCTGGGATGCAGAGGTTGCAGTGAGCTAAGATTATGCCACTGTACTCCAGCCTGGGCGATAGAGTGAGACTCTGTCTCCCAAAACAAACAAGCAAAAAGAATGATACAGTGGACTTTGGGGACTTGGGGTAAGGGATGGGAGGGGAGTAAGGGATAAAAGACTACACGTTGGGTACAGTGTACACTGCTTGGGGGATGGGTGCATCAAAATCTCAGAAATTATCTCTAAAGAACTTATTCATGTAACAAAACACCACCCATTCTCCAAAAACCTGTTAAAATTAAAAAGAAATTTTAACTTCTAAAGTGGAAATAAAATCATTAGGAAGAATTGGCTTGGTCTTACAGTTTTTAAGTGACTCAGTTAGCATACATTTATTGAGATATTGCTGTATACTATGACAGAAAGTCCAGCTTATGAACATGGGTTTGTTAGAAAAGCTATTTCAACCTCAATTTCATAGAGGCACCTCAACTTCTATATTTCCAAAACTGAACTGATTACCTTACCTGCCATGCTTGTGTGAGCCATGAACATCTCACCTCGATGACTGTTGCAAAAGCCTCCTAACTGATCCTCCCTTCCTCCACTTTTTGCCCCTACATTCTATTTTAACATAGCTACCTGAGTGATCCTTTAAAGTGGAACTCAGATTCAGTCATTTCTTTGATGAAATCGTTCATTGACTCTTCATGTCACTGAGTGTGAAGACAAAGTACATGTAATGGCGTACATGATCCAGCCTCCTGTTACCTCTCTAGTATTCTGTCCTATTGGTCTCTTTCTTGTTCATTCAGCATCAGCCACATAGAACCTCTTGTACTTCCTTATGTGTGCCAGGCATGCTGCTCCTGCCTTTGGACTTTTGCACTATTTCTTCTGCCTGAAGGCGCTGTTTCCAGATACCTGCATAACCAAATCCTAAACCACCTTCAAATCTTTGCCCATGTTATCTTCTAGTGAAACGACCTATTTAAACTCACCACACTTTCCCCATTTGCCTTTACCCTACTTTTTTCCCCTTAGCGTTTATCACCTTTTAATATACTATAGAATTTACTTCTACTAATCATTGTCTCCCTACCCTCTAAATGTAAGACTCCATAAGAGAAGGGATCTTTTGTCTTATTTTGTACCCTGATGTGTCTGTCATCTCAGGTATTTAGAACAGTACCAATTGGACACACAGTAGTTACTGGACACACCTAAGTGTTTGCTCATTAAATGAATGAATAAATAAATAGGCAATTTTTGGAAGGAGCAACCTGAATGGCCAATAAACATTTGAAAAACCTCACTAGCAATCAGATAAATGAAAATTGAAACAACGAGATACCATTTAACACCTCATAGATGGCCCAAAATTTTAACATCTGACAATATTACGGGGAAAATGTTAGTCTTATACAATGCTGATGGGGTCTAAATTGGTATCTTATTCTGGCAATCTTATGACTCAGCAGTGCCACTCATGGGGAGGGAAGAAAATGGAATTCGGAGGGACCCAACAATTAGCTCTCTCATAATTTTTATTTTAAAAATGAAAAAATTTAAAATCGAATCAAGTGTGCTGACCTGGAAATATCTTCAAGACATTATCCAGTGAAAAAATGCCTGTTTCAGAAATACAGCCAGGTTCCATGACTCATACCTGTAATCCCTGCACTCTAGGAGGTCCAGGTGGGCTGATCACTTAAGGCCAGGAGTTTGAGATCAACCTGGCCATCATGGCAAAACCCCATCTCTGCTAAAAACAAAAAAATTAGCTGGATGCGGTGGACACATCTGTAATTTCAGCTACTCTGGAGGCTGAGGCAAGAGAATTGCTTGAACCCGGGAAGCAGAGGTTGCAGTGAGCCAAGATCACAGCATGGCACTACAGCCTGGGAGACAGAGTGAATAAATTAAATTAAAAAAAAAATATGTATCATTTAAAATGTATTATATATGACTATCAAAAACTTGAGTATAGCTAATATATTTTATAATTATATTATAAAAATATCGTTATTATAACACATTTTAAACAAAATATAGACTAAGATAATAATAGAATATTGGCTGGGCATGGTGGCTCATGCCTGTAATCCCAGCACTTCGGGAGGCAGAGATGGGCAGATCACCTGAGGTCAGGAGTTTGAGACCAGCCTGGCCCACATGGTGAAACCCCATCTCTACTAATCATATAAAAATTAGCCAAGCGTGGTGGTGCATACCTGTAAATCCCAGCTACTCTGGAGGGTATGCCAGGAGAATTACTTGAACGCGGGAGGCAGATGTTGTAGTGAGCTGAGGTTGCACCACTGCAGTCCAGCCTGGGCAGCAGTGTGAGACTCGGTCTCCAAAAAATAAATAAGTAAATAAAAAGAATATTATAAAAATTTAAAACTTGCTAGCAAAAATCATTTTCAAATGTCTACCATATAGTCACTTCTTCTATAATTAATTTTTTTAAAGGCTTAGGTTATTTTTAAAAATGATATATTTTTATTGCATTTTAAATTCTGGGGTACATGTAAAGAACATGCAGGACTGTTGCATAGGTACATACATGGCAATGTGGTTTTCTGCCTCCATCCTTATCACCTATATCTGGCATTTCTCCCCATGTCATCCCTCCCCAACTCCCTACCCCCCACTGTCCCTCCCCTAGTCCCCTCCAACAGACCTCAGTATGTGATGCTTCCCTCTCTGTGTCCATATATTCTCATTGTTCAACACCTGCCTATGAGTGAGAACATGCGGTATTTGATTAACTGTTCTTGTGTCAGTTTGCTGAGAATGATGGTTTCCAGGTTCATCCATGTTCCTACAAAGGACATGACCTCATTGTTTTTTATGGCTGCATAGTATTCCAAGGTGTATATGTGCCACATTTTCCCTGTCCAGTCTATCATCAATGGGCATTTGGATTGGTTCCAAGTCTGCTATTGTAAACAGTGCTGCAATGAACATACATGTGCATGTGTCCTTATAGTAGAACAATTTATAATCCTTTGGATATATACCCAGTAATGGGATTGCTGGGTCAAATGAAATTTCTATTTCTAGGTCCTTGAGGAAGCGCCACACTGTCTTCCATAATGGTTGAACTAATTTACATTCCCACCAACAGTGTAAAAGTGTTCCTACTTCTCCACATTCTCTCCTGCGTCTATTATCTCCAGATTTTTTAATGATCGCCATTCTAACT